TTCCTGTAAGAAGTGGCTTTAGGTTGTGTGCTATTGTTATTGGAATAGAATTGTTTTGTTTGTTGTTCTGATTATATTTTTTGTTTGTTGGGTTCCATCTTTGACTGGTTTCAAGTACTAGAACTTTTGTAGTTAAACATTTATACAAGTTATTGAATGTAAGCTGTCAGTTGTACATTGTCCTAAAAAAAAATTCAAGGCATATATGATGTAAACTACTCTGGATGGGAGTTAAAAATTAAGATGGTTTTAATGTTTCTGCAGGGCCGATTAGAGGAATGGTTATCTATTCTGCGTTTAGAGGAGTACACAGGGTCCCTTAAGCAGCAAGGCTATACATGCGTAGAGCAGATGACGCAACTGACTTGGGAAGATCTTGAAGATATAGGCATTACAAAATTGGGACACCAGAAGAAGGTGAGTACTTATTCAATGAGGTAGATTTTATTCATGAATATAGGTAAGAATATTAAATGGTATAAAACAATGGAATTTCTAGCACAGGTGCTCAGTTTTTTATATGATTTAATTTTTTTCTTCAGGTGATGCTGGCTATCAAACGTGTAAAGGACATTATGGCTGGCAAGAAATTTTCAAGCAATCCAGACAGTCAACAGCAGTCGCACTATGGAACTCATGAAATTATGATTTCCCGTGAAAACTGCGAAGGCCGAGACCAGTATGCTAGTGTGCCAGAATTCAGGACCTTTTCAGGCCCAGGACTCTACAATAATGGCGAGCATAGTAGATTGAGTGGACCAGCTGACCCTGGGGGTCACTATGGCGTACCTGCACATTACGGGCCTGGTGTTCAGTATGGTCCAATGCCACCTCCACAAGCACACGTCCATCCTCTCCAAAAGCAACCCGTTGCATATCACCCATCAGGCCAGTTCAGTGGCCCTCAGGGCCCATCACCTCCAGGCCCAAAGGTTTCCAGTGGGCAGCCACACCCCTTACCTGGCCCTGGCCAGGTGCAGTATAGACCAGATGTGGTAGCAGTGCAGGTTCGGCCCGGGGGCAGAGGAAGAAGTGTTGAGAGCTTAGAGGAGCCCATATACGGGACCTACCAAACATTCCACCCAGACAGCCGAATCCCAAATGTCCAGGGCCCCATGTCCCTCGGCAGCCTCCCTCCCAGACCCTTCCCCCCCTCGGCTCTCGGTCCGTCCCACCCCCAGCGGTCAATGGACGATGGCGACATCACTCCCACGAACGAGTACACCATCAACTATGAAGGTGGAGGAACTCTCCCCAGACCTCGCACAGCCAACAAACTCCGACCTGTTGCCAAAGTCACGGCGAAGACCAGGGTAGATATTCATGAGGTGCCACAGTTCATAAAGGACGGAAACAATGCAAAGAATGCAGCGCAGACTGAAGAAGCTAATAAGAAAGAGCTCAACATGAAGGCGCTAAACCGGCAAAATTCAGAAAACATTTATAGCTCTACTCATTGCCCAGGAAGCAATAATAATACCCCACAGGGAACTCCAAAGAAACTACCCCCTCCCCCCCCACGCCGCTCAAATTCCATCAGTGAGACATCGAAAGAGACAGCAGCCAGAGAGGCTCAGTATGGTTACCGGCGAGGAATGTCCTACGGATACATGGGCATCAAAAACAACTTGCAGCCTGATGTCACCCCTGATCTCCCACCCCCTCCAGCCCCCCCAGATAGTGCCAACCACCAGCATCTGCCCGATGACTTCCCACCCCCCCCACCACCTCTGACTTGTGTAACTATGGCCAGTGCCACCAGAATTTCTGCCAGCTCAACAATAACCACGTCCTCCATTACAAGCGACACTATTGCCACGTCACAGACCTCCACCACCGCCTCAGACGGAGAAGTAGGCGAGTTCCGGCCAAGGCGCAACGACTCCAATGCCAGCTTTAAGGTGAGACAGTTGGATAGAAAAGTTATTTTTTGTAAAAGCAGTAGTAAGTTATTCGAAATTAGAAGTAATAGAATTAACTGAAATATTGATTCCACAAAGATCATGTGCATGAGTGCGTCTCTTCTCTGCCCCGACACAGTCGACCTCCAGCACAGACTCAGACTCCATGCCGTTTGCCAATGAGAATGCTGGGACCATCAAGCAGCGAGCATGCCGCCCCCACCCGGGCCTCAGCGTCCTCGACACCAGAAATTCCCCACACTCCTCTCCAAGATCTTCCCCTGCTCTGCGCCGCAAGGAGACCCAGCCGCCCCTCAGGCAGAACCCAATTGCTGCGGCTGAGCCAGCCAGTACAACAGCCTCAAAGTCCAGTTCCAAGTGAGTGGCTTTGCTTTGCCATTGGGTGGGAGGGGTTTTAGGGATCTGTTTATTTTTATTGTCTTAGGAAGTTATTATTCCCCTTTCCTCTTTCTTTTGCACTATTTCTCATCTGTTCTCCATTATCCTCTTCATCTAACCCAATTCTGGAAGTGTCTTTTTTTTTTTTTTTTTTTTTTTGCCTCAAGTGTTAGTTGTGCTCACTTTCAATGTCCATAAGCAGTGAAAGGAAATTGAAACTGCTGTGAAAAGAATTCAAGAGGAAAAAATTTATAGCTAATATTAGTTAACAAGTGGGACTTTTGAGAGTTTGGCCCCTCCATCCCTCTCTCCCCCTCTCCCTCTCTCTCCCCCTCTCTCCCCCTCTCTCTCCCCCTCTCTCTCCCCCTCTCTCTCCCCCTCCCTCTCTCTCTCACCCCTCCCTCTCTCTCCTCACCCCTCCCTCTCTCTCCCTCCCCCCTCTCTCTCTCCCTCCCCTCCC